ATATTTTCCTATTTTACAAATTATTTTATTTTAAACTTGGAAAAATAAATATTTGTTGCTAATCTCATATACTTATTTCCACTTAGAGTATACTAGTGATTATTCTGGCTATTTAATATTAATAATTGTTCTTTTTAAAAGGTTGATTTCTCATGTGGGGATTGAGTTTTTAATGTAATGTTAAGATTAATATGATGAAGTACTTTGAATTCTTAAATATTCATTTTAATCACTTCTAACAATATCTAAGTTGAATGCTTTTAAAAGTTCTTCTAAAACCATTGTCGGTTTTATTTTGTAAAATCTGCTTCAAAAATTAGTCTACCACTGTGAATGAATTGCTTTTAATAGAGAGATGGGAAGAGGGGGGAGGGGAGATTCAGGAGGAGAAAAATGTCAAGTGAATCAATATGATTAATTAAATTAAATGTGGATTCATAAAACTCATATTCACAGATTTACACACTATATTCACAGTGACATTTAAAATGTTTTGAAAATCCCTAAATAAAGCCCCATGTACATGAACATATTTTCCTTCTTTAAGAAATTTTTTAAAAACCTAATGACAAAACAGAATCATAAACTTTACTGCCAACTACTATACATTTCCAATATTTTTTTTTACAGAAAAACAGGAACAATTTTAATATGTAAAAGTTTTAAAGGAAATTAGATCTATTTTTGCTACTTTCAGAGATGTTTATGCTTAAGCCAACAGATAATCTTGACTACTAATGTAACGTAGTTTTCCTTGTTTTAAATGTGTACCAAGGTCATTTTCATGTTAAGCCATTAAGCTTACAACTTTATGCTGTTCTACTGGATAACTAAATTGCTGTACTTAGCAGGTCAAATATTTATTTTAAAAAAGTTAAATTTCACTTGTTTTTTATAAAAAAGTTGTGACATGACGTAGAAGAAATTGATTCTTAGATTTCTGAAATATATTGGTTTTTTAAATTCAGATAGTACAAAAATATAATACCTGAAATCTACATGTAGAACTAACATCTATCTATGAATGATAAAAATGACAACAGGGTCTTTAACATAGCACAACACTTAAGAGATTTGGAGAGAATTTTCAGGTTCAGACAGTACTTAATGGCATGAAATGTTTGTAAGTTAATTTAACTTAAGAAAATCAATAGTTTTTAGATATTAATTCTGAATTGTTTATGATTACTTCCTCTCCAAAGTCTATTAATGTTAGTGAGTTTCTCCTCCAACCCTGTGTGTTTCAAATTAGTATAAAGCCTTCCATTTCTGCTTTCGTGAGGAGTATATTATATTGCTTTCACAAAAATCCAGTGTAGCTTAAGCTATTTTAACAAACGACAGTCTTTTTCCCTGTAAAAAAAGGTTCCAAGATAAAGATTTTACATCACAGAGAAAATGGAAGAAAATTGAGAGAATACTTTATTTCCTTTAGTAGCCTGCTATTGATGATGAAAAACAAGGCAACAAATGTAATTGGTAAAACAAACCCCAAAGGAAGTTTCAAGTGTCTCTAATAGGGGAATATTCTTAGTTGTAAATAGCTCAATTTTGTCTCTAGAACCTAAAATATGTATCCCTGCCCCCCCCCACCCAATCTTGCATCCAATTTCAATACTTCAGCCTTATCAAAGTAAACAAGCTATTGTTAGAATAGAAAATCCAGCTAGGTTGGAGGGCTGCTGCCACTTCCCTCTCTTCCTAGCACAATTCGGTGCCAATAGCTTTTGGAAAAGGGAAGAAAGAAAGGTCCGCTGCTGTGCTGTGTGGAAGTAAAGAGGCAGAGGGACATCACTTCAATCTCTTGGCTCTGGTCCTTTCTCCCTCTCGCATCTCCAGAGAAAAGAGATGCTCTTCATTCACAAAACAAAACAAGAAAATCTCTATAATTATTTTTGGCTCAGCTCCATTGAAATTCATTCTCCTGGAAGCATCTCTGTTTTAGATTAAAACAATGCTTGGAATATTCATTCTCTGCTCTCTCTCTTTCTCACTCACCACTCCTGCGTGCCACCTACCCCCAACCACCACTCCCTGCACTGCCCCCCCCCCCCATTTTTCTCTTGCTTTCTTATTTCTCAGTCTTGGTTTCTCTTGCTCTCGGTCCCTGTCTGGTTGGATTTTTTTCTCAGTTGTGCCAAAGTTATGTCTCAGAGGTTTTTAACATCATTGCCTACAAGTGCCTACTCAAGATAGTCATGTTTAACATCAGTTGTTCAAGCCTCATACCTTCTTCCAACCAGGAAATTTCTCCAGCCCTATATCGAGAGCCTATCTTGTGGTTGTTGATTTGTGATCTGATGTTTCAAGCCAAAAAAGAGATGTTCTAGTCTAATCCTGCTCAGTAAAATTGGGAACAAAATTTACTTTCTCTTTCCTCCAGCCTTCTTTTCAATACCCAATCTTCAAAAAATGGACAAAGTCTTCATTGTCCACAGGAGGTGGTAGTTACTGAATTCCAGTGGTAAAGCATAGGAAATTATTATTTTAAAAATCCATTAGTTAGTTAACTGACAAAATTTAGTGCCCGAAACCATATAACTATTAAAAATATTTTTTCTGTCACTAACTTTAACTTTGATTTTATTTTCTTTAAGGGCAAAAAAAAATATTCCATTTTCCTTTTTGTTAAGGCAACATTTTTTTTTTTCAACACATGGAAAGTAGAATTGCTGCTCCAAATAGTTTGTATGTACATATTAATAAAATTTATTAATGTTCTGTGAAACATGGGATTCTCTTTCCTGAAACAGTGGATTCATTTGGGCTTCTACTGCAAGGCAAGAATTTTATTTATGGTGTCTTACATTTTGTGGAATTCCAATTTCTTACACCTTTTCATTCTTGGTAACAAAAATTATTGATAAACCTTTCATAGAAAGAGGTAGCTCTGATACCTATTTTCATTAGCATTAATGTGTCTTTCTACTTCTCACTCTCTAATTTGAATAATTAATTTGTGTTCATTTTAAATTCTTGGTTGTTAGCAAAGGCATCCAACCCTAGTACCCATCACCCGGCGAGTGTGCATCCTATTTAGGGGTGCATTTCTGCTCCTTTGAACAATGAATATTTTGTGTGGATACTGTAGTCACATATAACTAAGTCCTAGCCTTCCTACACTGTCTTGACAAACAGAACAAAATCCTGACCGTAGCCCAGAAGAGAAACGTCTCTGGGATGTCCTCTCTCTCCAGTAACAGTACAGCAATCTTATAAGCATTTATTTAAAAGAGTTTGAGAATCTATTTCTAAGGCCTCACAAGAACCCTGATTACTGAATTCTGTTTGGCTTACCAAATAAAAAGAAGGAAAAGAAGAAAAAAAAAAAAAAAGGAAAACCACACACACTGCCATTAATTATACTGTAAACATTTAATAAATATTCTTTCCTTCTATCCTTTACCCTTTTCAAAAGGAAAGGTGGTAATTTACATGTATTTTGCCTCTTTCCACTCATTGTTTTATTTCTTTTCTTTCTGGCTTTCTTTCACTTCTGTAGAAAGAGGTGGACATGTTTGAGAAGATAGAAATGTTTACTTAGTACATTTTTTTTCATGTAAAAAAAACAGCCTAGGCACTTTCTACTGTGTCTTATGACCTTTGTTAAACCTCTAATTCTGGAAGCTGCATTTTAATTACAAAATGTTGTAAAGGGAATACAGTAGGAATATACAACCCTTGATTCTCAGCCAAATGAGAGAATTTAACAGCAATGTATGGTTGCTGGAATGGTTATGTTTGGGATCCATATGCATGTTCAACTCACACATTCAGGCAGTGCAATAAAGCAGGGAAAAAACAGCTGATACACAAAAGGGACCGTCTAGACAGTACCCCATCAGTCTGGCTAAATTTGGTGCTGGCATTCCCAATGGGATTGTAATATAATTGTTCTGGTGTCTGCGTTCATTCCCCCTGTCAAACACCATTCCAAATATACATCCTTCTCCCCCCAACCCTATTTCTTCCATAAATATGAAGCCCAAACTGTGCCATGCTAGAGAGGGTGTTGTTAGATGGCCCAACATTAAGAAAATGTTATAATTTAGCAAAATCATGCTATTTAATTCCTTTAAAAAAAATCCTCCTATTACTTTCTAACTCCAAATAGAATTAATTTCTGGCCAATTTAAATAATTTAAATTAGAACATGAAAAAAATTTTAATGCAAATACAAATAATCTTGAAATACTGAGCACTTTAGATGAAAGCAAATAGGCCTTTTTACCCCTTTATATTTATTAACCTCTGTTAGAAAATTTAACAGAAATCAGAGATGTGAAAGTGTAATGATGGACATGGATCATAAATTCTAATGAATAAAAAGCTAATGAAAAAAATGTTAAACAAAAGCGCTGAAAAAGTGCAAATTGTATATTTTTTCTTTCTTGGGTTTAAAAGCCATAATATTTTTTTCTCTCTAAACATCTTTAGAAAGTTAAATTTCTGTTAATTTATATAGGAATTATTTAATATATTTGATTTTTTAAAAAGAGAAACCAGAAATATTTATCCACTGATTTGTAGTAACTATCAATTAATATTTTTAGAGATATTCTGGTTTAAGACATCAGGAAAATGAAAATCACTATTTCCAAAATAAAATAAAAAAGCCCAACATTAAAATGAAAATGCACAGATCAATGGCAAAGATGCTTATAATTGAAAAACTTTGACAGCACTGAAATTAAAGCTATGAGAATCCCTTTTTTTGGTAAGGAAAATGCAGATTTTAAGATTGTCATATAATAGCCAGATATACTTATTTTATTTTCTAAAGTGTCACCTCTGGGTATTGTTTAGATGTTAAAATTGATCAAGAAATCTTTTTTTAAAACCTTTTTTTCTTTCAACTCCATGAAAAATTATCTTGGGAAAGAGGTTGGGCTGTTTGTTTTGTTGTGTTTTTTTAATTGTGGGCTTATATTTGTACTTCTGTTTTGGAGGTTAATAATCCTTTTCTGATCCTGTAAACAGAAATTTGTCTCCCATCTTAGTGATTCTGAGATGCCAGATTACAATCCCAAGTGAGTGAAGAAAGTCTCCCCACCCCCACCAGGGACCACTCTAACTAGAGCAAATTCAAAGCAGATACTTCAGGCAGTAGATCCTGGCTTTATCCAACTTCAGGAGCTGAGGCAAGCCCACCAACCAAAACAAGAAATGGCTGTTCCAGGAAGAAGCAAGACACAGGGCCTCAACTCGCACAAAGACAGAGCACAAACGCACAGAAAATCACCACCAAAGGGATCGGGAAATACCCAGATACATTTTACAGAGATGTCTTCAAATTCTCATGTGGGAAATGGAAGATTAAAGATTATAAATATCTTAAAATTTTCATGTGGAAAAATGAGATGAAGAGATTGTATCCTTACATTTTTAATTAAAAAAAAAAGAGTGACTTCATATTTTTTTTCCTTCTCTTGTATGAAATTCTTCTGACTTTGCACATGGGCACAAGAATGAACTGAACTGAACAAGAAACACAGGCATTAAAAAAAAAGACAACACAGTGATGATATGTGAGCAGTGTCTGCCTGAAGCTGGGTGGTTTGCTTGTGACTGTTTTTTATTCACTTTATTTATTTATTTTTTACAATATGTACTGGTAGAAAGTGAAAGAAAGGCACACCATAGGCCTCTTTGAGATGAAACGGTGTAGCCAAATCTGAGTTTTAGACTTGGTTTTCAAACTATGGAAGAATATCCTATGAGACCTCTTGGGTCTTAACTGGATTAAAATGAATATATTTGTGCTCTGGCTCTTTTCAGCTAACTAATGTGCATGTGAATTGATAGTGTGCGAGAGAGCGGGTGAGAGCAAGTGTCTGTGACACCGGGAGAGGCTGCGGGCTCCGGGCGCAGGACGGTGTGGGCTGCCTCCAGCGAGGGAGGGAAATGAAAATGAGCAGGCCTTGGGCTCCGGTGCGTTTTGTCTTGACGGGAGCCAGAAGAGAAGCTTGGCTGGGAGACGAGGAGGAAGGAGAGGGGTGGGGGTAGAGAGAGGGTGGAGAAGGGGTGTGGCGTGTGTGTGTGTGTGTGTGTGTGTGTGTGTGTGTGTGCTGAGGTTTCACTTATGGCTGAGCTTTGGGGTTTCATTTTGTCGGTTCCTGGCATAAACAGACTGGAATTTCAGGTCCAGGCTGGAGTGCGTGCAGAGGGATGCTTGCGGAAGTTTCTTTTTCTGGCCCTTCACTAGGGTTGCTGCTCAGAACATTACTGCTGCTACAGAGGGGGTTTGGGGGGAGCAGCCAGGGATGCCGGTCTGTCTGCAGCTGCCCCTCTCACACTTGAATAAAAGAACTTTTTTTTTTTTCCAGGGGTAGGGGAGCTGTGAATACCTTTCCCAATAAGAGATGAGGCATATTGAAAACTATATTAAATTACCCTGATTAACAATTTAGCCACGAACAGGGGAGCTTTGGGAGATCTCTATAGGCAGGACTGGGGGCTATTCATGCCAGCAGCTAAGAGGTCGAAAGGTTTCTGAAGTTCACAGGCTCAGAGCCTTTGTTATGCTAACAGACAATCTCAAATCAGCTGCCTAGTGGAGTGTGAAATATAAATGATTCCTTGAGAACTTCCAATAAGTTGTCACTCTTGCTCTCCAAATACCAGGACAGGCTGCTAATTTCTAGCAGGCCCTTTTGCAACATGGCTAGCCCTAAATGAATGCCTTTGTAGTTCAAATAATCTTTTCAAGGGAGCTGTCCTATCTTCATAGCCCAATGCATCTTGGTTTTGACTATTAAATGAAAATCAGGGCTCAGCAGTGCTTGACTTTTCCAATCGCCCGACGTTGGGGAAGGGTGGTGGCAGCTCTCATGCACAACAAGTTAGCACCCACTGCAGGAGGCTAGGGCATTAATAACAGCCGAGACCCCAGGAGCTACCCCGACTCTCACCCCCAACTCCCTACCGGGAACAATGCTCCGGGAGAGATTTACGTGGTTTCCCTCAGGCTGGACTACCTTCTTCTTTCAACCACACCAACATTTCTGATTTATGAACCCTCTGTCCAAGAGGATGGCCAGCTGACCTGCCAGCATCTGACTGGTCACTTCGAAGCATCAACTTTGGAGAGGGAGGTGTTCATTCTTCAGGGCAGGAGAGGCCAAGGGGAAGACGGCAAGGTGTGTGTCCAGCACATGCCCCTGGTATCAGATGCGTGTGGATATTATTTTATCATCTGCCCATAAGAAGGATATGAACATAGCATATGATCTTGGGTGTGACCTTTGAGCATGTCCAGATGAATTAAAAAAAAAAAAAGGCCCTGGCACTCTGAGTCTGAATTACAAAGCTTTTTAAGTAAGGAAAACTACTCCCCAGACAAGTTGGGGGGAGTGAGACTGAGAATCTATGTGGGAGAGTGTGCCCAAGTCAAACATTCTAGTAAGAAAGGACAAAGCTAATTTATACAAATAAAGGAAACACGAAAGAAAGAGGATAGAGACCAAAGGAAATGAGAAATCCATCTGCATCAGTCTTCACAGAGGAAGGGATAAAACCTTTACCTTGATAATTACCTTGAGTAACACCTTGAGTCCTAAAAATTTGGGTATTTCTCATTCCATGTCCTTGACTTCTTTACTGAAATACAAAAAACTCCATGATATCACAGAAGTGTCTGCTTTTTTCCAAACAGAGCAGGTTTGATTTTTTGGCAAGGAGTGCGAAAAAAAAAAAAAAATCAAATGGAGTGTATTTCTTAATATATTCTTAGGGTAAGTTTATAAACATGTAAATACATAGAAGCAATATGTTTTAATACACCCTTAGGTAACTTTATAAAGCTTGATGATATAGCTGTACAGAAAATCAAGGACATTGATCACCCTTCATCATCTTCTTCCTCTCACTACAATGATTTACAAGTATTACTAACCACAATGATTTTAAAATATTACTTCAGAAATGATTGGGGAGTTCATTCTGATTGGAATAGAAACTGATTTAAGTAAATACTTTTTCTGCCTTAGGTATAGTTAGATTTACAACTATGTATTAAAACATTAATTAAATAGAAATAAATGATGGTGTAATGTGTTCCAGTTTTGAAATCATCTAGCTTATGTGTTTAAATCTTGTTTGTTTGTTTTTTAAAAGCCAGAATACAGCACACAATGGTAAAAGACTCTGGGATTCGACTTAGAGAATTTAGCCATCAGAATAGGAGAGCGTTTAGGATTCAGATTTTTATTTGTTTCAGACCCTTATGTGTTTTGCCCAGTAAACCAATCTGCAAATACTATTGACTAGAAAAATGAGTTCAGATTACTGACACTAGACAAGTAAAAGTTTGTGGTTTCTTCTGCCAAATGCCAGAATTCGACAATAATTCGTTATTGATCTACTCACACCCTTTTCAGGGGGACTTAGGATCCTGGTTATCCTTATTTCAGAGACAGCAGAATGACTGGCTTCAGGGGCACATCTCATTACACAAAAATGAAGGCAACCCAGAGCTGAAAGTTCAACGGAAGCAACATAACTTGCTTAAATTTAACTTTTCACCCCCTTTTCATTTTTAAAGTTAATTAATATTAAACTGTAAGTATCTAAGTTATTGACACATGCTGGACATTCAAAGGAGAAACACCTTCCCTGTGCTTCCAAATACTTATTTTTACCACTTCCAAGGGTCCTCTCTCTTTCTGTCTTTAACACATCAAAACAGGGAAGAAAGCGCTTTTGTGCTATAACTACAGAGAAAACATTTGAGAATGTGTCAATGCTGTGAATACCAGTTTGGGGGTTGGTTTGTTTTTCCCCCTGCCGGGGTATTTCTTTTCCCTTTGCTTTTGAGTCTTTAAACTCTGGCCACTTTGAGAAAAAGCAACGGTTGAAATGAAAAGTTAGGACAAATTGCGTTAAACCTGTGTGTTCCCAGAATATGAGCATGATGAAAGCAGTATTGGGACATGGCAGAGCTGAGCAGCTCTCCACACACAGAAAATTAAAATAAAATAACAAATAGAAGCTGGTCTTTTAATTCTTACTGAAATACTTCAGATCTAAGAGAAAGGGAATTCCTGTTTAAAAAAGCAAGTTTCTAGGGTTGCCACTGCTGCATAGTGGGGGTGTCTGAGCGTGTGTGTTTGTGTGTGCGCATGTGAGTGTGTGTTTGGGGAGAAAAGAAAGAGTGGGGAGGAGGAAGGGCAGATAACTTTACTGACATATTAATTCTTTAGATAGCAGTAAATGAATGGTCCAAATAGACATTTGTTTCCCTTAATAGGTTTTGTACAGGTCTCTTACAAGCTGTGGCATATGCTTCATTTATATGTATATTTATTTAGAAGGATAGAGAATAATAGGTGTAGTTTGTCTATAGTCGCAGTTATTATTTAAAGTCCAAAGAGGTTACAACTTTTTTCTACTCCAAACACGGACACAAAGGTCTCTTGTACATGCCTCCTGCATTATGTTGAAGGCCAATTAAAAATGAAGGTAATATTCTAACTGTCGAGCCTTGGGAAGAGGAAGAAGGAGGCTTAAAGGCACAAGGACTCCAAGATGGCTGCCTCTTCCTTCTTCCCCTCCTCTCTGCCTGTTTTCCACACAGAAATTAATATAATATTTTGTTTAGAAATCACACTGTGGGTCACTTGTAAATGAGGCAGTCTCTGAAGCACCAACATCTGCCTAGAATTCTCTCATGATGCCATCGAGGTGTGGAGAGAGCTTAAAGTGCAAACATTCAAATGCATTTAGATTTGTATATAGAGACTGGACTCACACACATACACACTTGAACATGTGAACAACACACACAGCTGCAAAAGGAATAAAAGGCCGAAATCCTTCTTAATTCTTAGGACAGAAGGGCAAAGGAGGGCGCCAGGCCACCACCCTCCTCCCCAAAGGATCAGAAATGCACTGTTCATGGTCTGGATTCGATTTTTTAAAAAAGATATATCTTAGTGATGACTCTCTCATTAGGCGGACTTCTGAAGTCTGTGGAGACAAGATTTCCATAAATTATCTCTCTAACTCATCTCATGCTGGTGCAAAATGTGAAGCTAAAATTGTTTTTCTTTTAATTCTTTTTACATTAAAAAAAAAGAGTGTACCATGCTAACCAGCTTTCTGAATAACATGTTAAAGGCTTAAGAGCACCAGTAATTACTGCTATTAATTATAATAAATACATATTCTCAATCATCAAATCCCACCCGTAAAGCTAAACTAAAATAATGGGAATAAATAAAAGTATATTTGGAGCTTTATAACAGATTTATAGCAGGTTACTGTGTAGACT